ACACACACACACACACCCACACACACACACACACACACACACACACACACACACACACACACACACACACACACACACACACACACACACACAGACAGACACACACACACACACACACACACACACACACACACACACACACACACATACACCCACACACACACACCTACACCCACACACACACACCTACACACACACACACACCCACACACACATACACACACCCACACACACCTACACACACACACACACACCTACACACACACACACACACACACACACACACACACACACACACACACACGCACAGACGCACAAACACATACAGACGCACACACACACGCCTGTGTTCTTTGTTTGTGTTTGCTGAGCCGCTCACATCATCTGGTGTGTGATGGTCTGCAGTATGGAGCACACGGCAGAGGTGCAGTGAGCTGGAGAAGCAGAGCGGCGCTGCCGGACAGCTGCTGATGAAAGAGCGCTCTTCCCCATTCCTCTGTTCACGTTTCAGTTGTGTTTCACATGTTGTGTGACTGTAGTCTGTGACAGAGCAGTTCCCGTTTGGTCATCTTCTTCTAATCCAGCAGCATGTGGCTGTGATGTGTACAGCAGTGTTATATTAGCTTATATTGGTCATGTGGCGGGTGTTGCTCTCTCTCTGTCTCTCTCTCTCTCTGTCTCTCTCTCTCTCTGTCTCTCTCTCTCTCTGTCTCTCGCTCTCTCTCTCTCTCGTTAACATGCTTGAACACCTGTGCTATATGACAGTATGAGCGCTCTTCAGTCCTCGTGGATCAGATTTAAGGACTCTGCTGAAGTCTGTTCTGAAATGAAAGCGTCAGACTTGACGTCATTCGCTGTGGTTTATAATGATGCGCGACTCGCATTACAGGTGAAGATCCGATCTACCTGCTAACACTGCAGACGCGAAGCCACAGATCTGATTCATATCGGATACAATCCTGCTCTCCTGCTGACACCCACACGGGCCATCCCTGATCTGAGCCACATAGGAGAACCAACAAAGATAGATGCAGGAGGAGGATCAGCTAGGAGCTTCACATACACACAGCTGTGTAGACGTGCTCCCTGTGTGTGTGTCACATGCAGACGTGTGTGTGTGTGTGCGCATGTGGGAATATCTCTGCTCTTTGCTAGGCAGTTGATGAGCTGGGTTAGGGTTAGGATCTGATGAACACACGTGTGTTATTATTCGCGGGTCTGTTCACATCACATCTGTCAGTGAAGCGGCCGCTGACTCACACACAGCATGAGGAGAAGCGCTGAGCGCAGCAGTGTGGACATGTGGATTAAATGAGTTGTGAATGATCATCACAGTAATGTCTGATTAACTGTACATCAGGTGCCCACACTCGGTCCTGGAGATCCGCTGTCCTGCACAGTTTACATCCAACCCCAATCAGACACCCCTGGGCCCGCTGATCAAGCTCTCACTGGGCTTTCTGGAAGCATCTGTGCAGGTGTGTTGAGGCAAGCTGGAGCGGGCTGGAGAGATCAGTTAAACGAGGTGCTGGATCCAGCGTGCTCCGGCACCAATTAAGCCCTGTGTGTGTGTGTGAGTGTTTGCGTTTGTGCATGCGAGTGTGTGTGTGTGTTTGTGCGTGTGTGTGTGTGTGCGTTTGTGTGTGTGCGCGTGTCCTCACCGTGCACCTGGTTGATCTGCGAGTTCTGCGACAGGATCTCGTCCGCCAGTCTCTGTGCGGTGGGCAGCACCTGTGTGTGGTGAACGCTGATCAGGTACTGCAGCAGTTTCTGCAGCTGGTCTCGGTTCATCTGGAACAGTGTCTCTGAGATGGGCAGGTGCAGCTTCACCTGCTCCGGCCTGCGCACGCGGTACAGCGACAGCGCCACCACATGGGCGCAGTAGAAGATGTCCTTGTTCCCACAGCCGCAGGTGACGGAGGTGATCTTACAGCGGTCGAAGCTGATGGCCACGCTGCACACCTGCTCAGGCTCCGCCCCCACTGCCGGCTCCGTCACTGTACCGCTCAGGTGGAACCCTGAACCACAGAGAGAGAAAGAGAGAGAGAGAGAGAGAGAGAGAGACTGTTTATATTATTGTCACCACTTTCATCCTGTTTCACAAATTACCATTAATCTATTTTTATTTTTATTAATATTTTTTAGTTTTACTGATATATTGTTATTTTTATTAATCTATTTTTATTTTTTTTACATTTCTTTTCTTTATTTCTATATTATATTTTATGTTTATATTTGTTTGCACTACTGCCCTTTTTGCACTGTCTTGTCTGTACGCAGCGACGCTGCACTGCTTTGGCAATACGAATGTACAGCTATTTGTCATGCCAATAAAGCACCTAAAATGTGAAAAATGTGAAATGTGAGAGAGAGAGAGAGCGCGAGAGAGAGAGATTAATTAATTAATTAATATATTAATTAATCCCTTATTAAAGCTCTCTGTCCTTACCATTTATTATTATATACTTTTGTTAATCTTTTTTTTATTAACTTGTTTATTGTGACAACATATATGTATAATATAACGATATGTATATGTGT